ATATATGTATCATATATCATATAATAAACACACACCTTTATTTGAAGTACTTGTGGAATGTCCATGAAAATTTGGCCATATACTCTGACGCTACTAAAATCTCAGTAAGCATAAAAGTGAAAGCAAGGAGCTTTCTCTACGGTACAGAAGTCTCAGTTTCTCAGGGAAGGAATGCTTCTACCACAGACAGGAGGACGTAGCAAATAAAAAGATAGGATGCCTACTTTTCAAGTTAATTTCATGTAAATAATATATTTTATTTAAATGTGATCCAAATATGACAGAGAGCATACTTGTGCTAAAATTACTTGTTCCTACGAAATCCAAATTTAACCAGGCTGCCTGTGTTTTATGTGATTTTCCAAATTAAACTTGAAGTTGAACCCCATCAACTCTGGGCTCGTGAGCAAGTGAGTGAATAGGCAAAGGGGAGTGATCTGGTGGCTGGGGTGATTCATCCTAATATCAAGGGTAAATGGGATTGCTTCTGCAAAATGGCATTTTATACTTATAAATTTGCACAAGCTCACACAGGTGCAAAGTAATGCATCCACGCTTGGTTCAATATTGCAAAAGATCAGATCCATCAAACAGGTGTTATAGCACCAGGGCATATCTCAGAATAAAATTCTACACATTAGTAAAAGGAAATAAATGAGGAAACTTTATGTACAAACATGAAACATCTCCAGTATATACTCATAAGTACAGATTCAAAATTATGCTTGTTATTAGAAATAATGAAAAATAAAAAGACATTAGTTTCTGTCTGGCCCATGTCTAGATGTCCCTTAAAGCCTCGTGTGTTCATATTGAGGCTTTTCAGAGGTGGCTGGATCTAGGGTATGTGAATGTGGATTGAGTGTGGTAGTGGGATTAAGTACTAGAGTACTAGATTAGTATACTGGCTGAAATTAGTTTAGTTCTGGGTGTGAGTAATAGAAGCCCCATCCTGGATGTGTGTGGCTGCAATCAATAGGCTTATAGCCTGCATGGAATATAAAGGGAGAGAGAGGGAAGGCAGACCTGCAGCTGCTGTTGCTTGCTGCTGCTCCTTGCTGCTTTGCTGCCTTCTGCCTGCCACATCATGAACTGTTTCTCCTCTGTGATGCTCCTCTGCTGTGTTGCCCTGCCTTAGAGCCAGCTAACTGTGGACTGAAACCTCTACAAACAGTGATGGGGCTGGGGAGATAGCTCAGTAGAATACATGCTTCCCTGGCAAGTGCAAAGGCCTGAGTTCAATTCCCAGTTCCGCCAAAAAAAAAAAAAAATACAAACAGTGAGCCAAAATAAACCTTTCCTTCTTTAACTTTGGGTGTAGGGTATTTTGTCTCAACAATGAGAAAACTAAGACAATTTCTTACTTTATATTTGTATAAAGAATCATTAGAGTGATATGCCCTAAACTAATAAAAACAAATCTTTGTTGGGCTAGCAAGATAGCTCAGTGAAATAAGTACCTGCTTTGGCAAGCACAGGGACCAGGGTCCGATTCCCGGTCCCACATTCCACACCAGCCCCGGGCATGGTGGCGCATACCTCTAAGCCCAGCACTGGGGAGGCTGAAAACAGGAGGATCACTATGAGTCTGAGCTGTATGGTGAGACTCTGCACCAAATACATTTAAAAAAAAAAAAAAGTAAAACAAAAAGTAAATCTTTGTTGAAGGCAAGAAAAAAATGGGGTACATGAAGACAAAATGGAATATATCCCTTTTAATACCTTTTTGAAGTATATGAACATTTTAAATTTTGAAATATATGAATACATTTACTATTTTAATATTAATTTAAAAATATTATTTCTACCTCACACTCACCCTTCTGAACAGCTGAATTCTATTTTTGATCCAAAAGCAAGATCTGTCTTAATTTCAATTGTGCCATGAGGTAAGTCTCCTGGATTTCTGCATGGTTTCTCTGGGAGATAAATTTAAATGACGGTTAGTGATTCCAAGTACTCACAGATAGGGCATCAGAAAAGAATGACTGACAGTTTCCACCTCTATTTTCATAAAGCACCAGATACTTCAATTCTCACTCATTTCCAACCTTGACTCCCTAAACTCATATTTTTGAAGAAAAAAATGCATAGAAATTTAATCTCATGTGTGTGCCTCAAAATCAGCAACTGAGAAAGTGGATGGTTCCTTCAGTTCAGGAAGTTTAGATCCTGACCCAACATTTCAAGGCTGCAAAAAGTGAGAGGAGGTTTGACACTTACTGGCACAGAAGACTTCGTACTTCCACTGGCCGTTGAGTCTGCAGGTCAGTGTCTGATCTGAACGGAGTCTGATGTAGCCAGGGCGACATGTGTATCTCAGGACAGTGTTAGTTGGGAACTCTGTCTCATTCAACTCCTTTGTGGGAGAAGCAAATAGTAAGGCAGGTGGGGGACCACATCTACCTGGACACCAAAATGACAAGAAGCACCAAAATTACATCTTCAGACTTCACATCTCAATGTTTCAATAGGATGATTTTAGGATAAGGGTACTTCTTTTCTCCTCTAATCAAGGGAAATCATAACTGCTATTATCCCCTTTCTTCAATGAACCCAAGAGTGATAAATATGTATGTTGATAAATGATAATGATAAAAGGCATAAAATTTTATCTCTTCTCTACTACATACGAGATAATTTATCTAAAATGGATAAAAGACACAATTTTCATCGGTCTATTAGATAATCTGTCTCTATTGCTACGCATATATCTATACAAAGCCAGAAATCCTTATAAGTACGCTTTGACATAAAAGTATTATTTCATTAAAAATAACATTGTACAGTGTGGGTTATCTCAGGGAAAGAAAACTGGGTGGCTGAGACATGGATAAGCAGAACATTTAATATTTTTTATCTTTTGGATTTGGAATGATAAGGAGGATGAGGCACGGAGGTGTTGAAGCATAAAGATATTAATCCTGCTTTCCTCACAAAACTTAAACACAGAGCCAATTTACCCTCACAAGTCCCTGTAGAAGTACACACTTCACCTCCCCATCCTAGTTAAATCCACAGAGCTGTTTCAAGCCATGACATGATTGGGAAGAGACTGTTTTTGGAAATACGTAGAGAAGAAATTCTAGAGGGAAATATCTAGAAAACTGCTTCATGTATAAAGCAAATTTCCCCTAAATCCCAGCTGGAAAAAAAACCTTTCTTCTCAACACCAATTTTGTCTAGAAGCTCACTCCTCTCCTCAGTTTGTGAAGTGTAGCTGACCTCTATTTTTCATTGTTCTTCTGGACTTGTTTCTCACTACTCACCAAGAACAGTGGCCAACAGAGAAGCGACCAACGTCATTTGGAACAGAGTTGGATGGGGAACTCCACACAGCCTAGAGAAGGGCCAGGCTCTCAGCACCCCACCTGGAGCTCTTGGGGGGTGCATGACTTGCTGCTTCTCTGATATATTTCTGCTGAAAGAACTCAATTTAATAAGCAGTCACTGAATTCCTACTTGTCTTAAAGCACTAAGATAAATGCTACCAGACCCATGTCTTCAAGGAGGTCACAGCCTAGACTGGAAGAAAACACAGAAGCACAAATGTCACAACACCAGACAGTGGGGGTTGGCTCTGCACAAGCATCCTGCTGCGAAAAGAGTTCAATTACAAATGGAGAAAGGGAGCGGGCGTCACAGAGAAGGCCACTTAGCTGGGCATGAGGACACACATCTGTAACCCCAGCAATCTGCTAGGCGTCAACACAGGAAGATTGCATATTCAAGTCCAACCTAAGTAATTTAGCAGCTCAGTGAGATCTTGTCTTAAAGGACAAATTAAATGAATCTGGCAATATAGTGCAGTGTGAAAAATCTTGTTTAAGGTGAAATCACTGGGAACATTTTTACTCTCTACCACTCTTCCCATCTCCCTGAGAGAACAACTATATACTAAGTTCACACTAGAGAGTCCTGGTCCTCAACGGAATATGTCAAGTTGAGCTCCAATAAAATATTGAATTTTATCTTTTATTCTTATACCTCTGTATGTGACCCCATCTGTCCCTAATTCATACCTAAGCCCATGTCCACTTGAGAAAAAGAGCTCCCTCACCTCACAGCTGCTTCTTCCCCACATGTGGAGTGGGGATCCTCTTAGAGTGGTTCTTTGCGCATGCTGTAGAGGAACCTGAGCTCTTCAATGAGTGAAGACTCAGATGAGCTCATCTTTCTAAAACCGAGTTCTGATGAAGCTGTTTCTCCAATTGCTGAACACCCCACTCCACGCATATCCTATGCCTTGAGCGTCACACATGGCTGCTAGCATAATTTTGCCAAACATAAATTAACCCACATAAAAATCTGCTACATGAATTTGCTTAGAGAAAATATGTTTGCAGAAATTGTATTAAATTGATCAGTTTGTCTAAAGAAATTGGGAAAGGCACATTCCATATCATGAAAATCAGACCACTAAATTATTTGTGAAATTCACAAAATGTGATAAATTTCTCCTACCCAACAAAAATTATGAAACCTATAAGTTTCTTCTACCCAAAAACAATTAGTTTTTTAATTCCAGTGAAACTGAAAAGATTAAAAACACTTGTCTTAGCAAAATAAAATTTAACTCTAAAAAAAAAAAACAGACAAAGTGAAATTTTCTCATATGAATTACTGTAGCTGTTATTAACACAAGAAAAATGTATATGTGGAATATATTCAGAAACAAATTCATTATAATGAATAACCACTAAGACAACAATATGCAATGTATTAATTAGTGAAACTGTGCTAGTAATTGGTTTTGAAACTGTCTCATTGCTATTTGTTTCTCAATAAAATTATTTAAAAAAGAAAAGAAACAAATTCATGACCAAGATGCAAACGTAAGATTAAACTTTTAGCTTTAAGAAATCAAACAAGAACAATTATGGCGCAGGAAGAAGATGTTAGAGATTACAATTTAACTGAGGAGCAAAAAGCAATCAAGGCCAAGTATCCTCCAGTTATTCGGAAGTATGAATATTTGGATCACACAGCAGATGTCCAGCTGCATGCGTGGGGGGAGACTCTGGAGGAGGCGTGCGAGCAGTGTGCCTTGGCCATGTTTGCTTACATGACTGGCACTGGGACTGTGGAGCCCCTCCAGACGGTGGAAGTCGAAGCCCAAGGAAGTGAAAGTACTTAGTATTGATCAAAGAAATTTCAAATTACGCTCAATTGGGTGGGGAGAAGAATTTTCACTTTCCAAGCATCCTCAGGGAACAGAAGCCAAAGCAATAACATACTCAGCAATACAGGTCTATAATGAAGAGAAACCAGAAGTTTTTGTGATCATTGACATTTAAGAAAGAAACAAAGAAAGAAACAAAGAAAGAAATGAGAGAGAGAGAGAGAAAAAAAAAAGACTTCTATGAAGAGCTGTTTTCTTTTATCTTGAGAAGATATAATTATTTTTTCTGGTATCTTTTGACAAATGGAAATTTACAGAACAGAAAATTTTAACTTAAAGTGTGGCTTTCAGAAGTAGAAAAAAAAAGCTGGGTGTGTTGGTATATGCCTGTAACCCCAGCTAGTCTGAGGGCTGAGGAAAGAGGGTCAAAAATTTGAGGCAGCCTTGGCATCTTTGTGAGATTTCATCTCAGAATAAAAAAATCAGAAGAGTGCTGGGAGGGCCAGACCTGGTGGTGCACCCTGTAATCCCAGCCCTTGGGAGACTGAGGAAGCAGCCTGTGAATTTGAGTCTGGCCTGACTGCCTACCAAGACTGTCTCAACATAAATAAAATTGCCTCTGTGATACAGAAAAAAAAAAAAAAAAAAAAATCAAACAAAAAATATATCTAAAAGTATTGAAAAAAGAATACATTCATTAGTTACATTCAAAAAATGTATTTATAATGACTGAATATGTTGAAATGAGTAGTCCTTAAACAGTGTTTGGTAAATTGATAACCTGATAAACCAATTTAGGAAATTGGCTACGGTGAATTCTGGGGCCTTCAGGACCTGGCAGTTACTCAGCTGGCTTTGTACCTACCTTTCCAGAAGTTTGGCCTGAGCCCCTGTGTCTGGGTACCCAGGGTTTCCTTCAGTTCCAAACACTTTCCTCATCCTACTCCTGTGCACATCAGCTGCCTTTTGCCCGTTCCCTCTATGATTCCTGTCCCTCCGCCTGTCCCTTGCCAAGTGTTCCCTTAGCCTCTAGACCACGTTCAGCTTAGTAGTTACAGCTTTCACCCTGATTTGGTTTCCAGCTGGCTTCTGAAGCCTGGCTCCAACAGCTGCAGAGAGCCTCACAGTAAGAGGGTGGTTCCTACTCAGTCCCACCTAAAACCTAACACTCACAAAGTCTAACTTGTTCAGTAAATGTCTTCTGAGCATAAATCCACAAGTGCTTAGTGATACAACTGTTTTCTAGAAAAATAATACTGTTCCCTTTCCATCCTTACCCTTGTGTGTGAGCTTTGTCAAGGGCCAATTTTAACTGATTTTACAGTATGACTCCTCTGTGTTTTAAGAAAAACTGATCCAAGGAATTTTATCATGAGCTCTTTTTCATCATCAACTGAAGCCAGCATATCATCCACCAGGCAGTGGGGGTGGGAGACAGTGGAAGAGGGAGGGAAGGGATGAACATGAGCTCTGTTCCCTTCACTCCCTCCACTCGCTATGGTACAGACACACTGAGACCTGACACCATAGTAAAGGAGTTCATTTCCTCTACCTCAGACTCACCTCAAGGCCACAGCCTTGGTGCTGGGGACAGGGGAAGGAGGTGCACCTAGAACTTGGGCCTGGGCTCTGGACTTAGACCCAAATTATGTGGGTGACTTAAATCCTGGTTCCACCATAAAGGAATCATGTGCCACGGGCAAAGACACTTGGCCCCAGCATAATTTAACTTCCTCTTTTATAAAATAAATACAATAATTGCACCTGTTCTCAGAATTCCTCAGAAGAGCTTGGCCCAGTGCACAGATGGCCCACAACGCACATCCGAAGAAGATATTAGAGAAGAGTATGATAGAGTAGGTGTTTGCATTCCCCTCTGCAAGAAGCAGAGCTCTGAGAAGTCAAAACATCACCATAGTGACTTAAATTATAATAAGGCCAACTGTTCCACCAGGCGATTTCATGCCCCATTGCAAAGGAACACCCACTGGGCTTGGGGTCAGAAGCCTTGGTCTGTCTCTTCTGTGGTTCTGGGCACAGTGAGACCCAGAGCAGAGAGACCCCAGGGCCCCTGGAGGCTGTTCTGAGGGTTTCTTCCTCCTCCTCAACCGTCTCTCTGGGAAGAACTCATCCCATTGACCACTTTGATCATCAAGCACAAATCACTCACTGTCCTCTGGGACAACTTCTTTAGTTTACATGCTCCATGAACTTAATTGGTAATAACTACCTTATTCTCTCCTATTTGACTATTCATACATGTAAGTTTGAAATCATTCAGGCTTTGTCTTCTCTCTTCTGGTTACTAACTAGTGGAATTTCTGTGCTTAGCTTAAAAATATATACGTTTTTGTAAAATCAGTGAAAGAAATCTTAACAAAATAAGGAGAAATATTCCTCTTCTCCTGTAGTAGTGAAAAGCGATATAATGCAGTGATAGTGCTGAATTTTCAAGCAATAATGCTAATCAAGGAGGCATTCCTAGACTCCTTGGTCCACGGGAAAGTTGTTGCATTGCTACTTGAGAGTAAGCTTTACTTAGAAAAGGCTGCAGTGCTGACTCGTTGTCTCAGAGAAATGTTTCTGTCTGGGATAATATTTAATGAACATTTCTGTTTTCTCAGTTACAAGTACATGTGAGTTTTCTTTGCAGATCCAGAAATACATTATCACTCATGCCTCTTCATCTGAAGTACTAAATATAAACTAAACTTTGACCGTGTTAGATCTCTTAGGTAAGCAAACAACCCTTTTTCCAAGGGGCGACAATTGACAGGATTTGCATCCGTATTTCCAACTACTTCCTTGGTATCTGCAAGGAACCTTGTATCCAGGGTGCTCCAAATTACCTTCCTCCAACACTATTTGATTTCTGTGCTATCTTGGCAAAAGCAGAAATTTCTACTAAATCTCCACCTAAGTCAGGCTTGCCACATGTCTTATGTCACCTTTCCATGTCCACAGTGGCCAAGTCCTGTGGAATTGACCATTGCAAAAGCATGGGCACTAGCCTCTCTTTCTCTCCTGTACTCCACCTCTGTGGTCCAGGAAGAAGTTCTCATCATTTCCTTTACCTTGCCCCAGATCACTGCAAGACTTTCCAAATATTTGTGCCCAGCTTCTATGTCAATACCATTATAGCCTTAAAAGGCAATTTGCTACATCACCCTGCTTGAAAATTTACATAGGCCCCCATTCCCATGGGTCCCCATTCCTCTCCCAGCTCACCATACTCCTCTTTTGCCAATGGAAAAGTACTGTGCTTCAAAACCCATGAAGGTACTTACCTTCTTCAAAATACCTCCTTCCCTTAAAAACATTTGCATACATTTGCATATAATATCTCCTGTGCGGGAATGCTCTTACCACTAATCTCCCTTTTATTCACTGGTCAGATCCAGGGCTACCTCCTTGGTGAAGAATTGTACAACTCGGTCAAGAAAAGCAAGTGTCTTCTGTATTCCCCTGGGACTTTGCAGATAACCTTGATCAAACTATTTTCTCTTGCCACCTGAAATAGATAGTGGTTTCCTTGAAGACAAGGGTGGTAGTTTTTCAACTTTCTGTCTCTAATCTTGTATCAAAACTGTGTATAATAATTATCCAACAAATGTAAAATAAATAAAACTCAAGTTAGTTCTGTCTTCAGAATGAAAATGATTGACTATCCCCTGAATGATATAATGCATGTAAATTGCCCGGTTAACCTTGGAAGACAGATGATAAGGTGTTTAGGCTCCCTTGTGAACTCTTGAGTTGTGATCTGGGTCATTTTTCCAGCTGTTTCTTGGGTTTCTCAGTAGAACTTGCACAGAACTCAGCTGACCACAGAGTACAAGGATGGAGGTGAGAATTCGCAAATTGAGGGGACCTGATTTTGGCTTGTGGCAATGGCACTATCTAAATCTATGATTGGGAGGAAGCTATATTATCTCCTTGAAACTACATTTTCTCTTCTCCAAAATGATGACACTTAGCATAACTTGTCTATTTTATTTCCTACAAACTCCACCATTCAGTACCTGCTCATTGAAAAGCTGAGACTATGCTGGCAAATTCCTATGTATTTCAATAACATTGTCACCTGTTTCTTAGAGAAAGGAGATCAGTTCAAGAACTATAGTCAAAATGGTAGATATTTTGTGAAAAACATTGTCCACACTTGTTTACAATCTGAAAGGCATTGGTAAGAATAGTTTATAATATGAGATGATCTTTTAAATAATTCATTTTATTTGTCTAAATTCCCCTTTAAAAATCAAACCCAGACTACCTCTGGAAAACTCGTCTCAAACCCAGGGTCTTAATGATCCCCCTAAGTACTTCACAAATCTCTACCCTTGCCTGTAGGTGGGCACCAGGCATAAAAACAGAAACCTCCTGAGGAACAGAGTACATCTCGAGGTTTAAGTTGCTCAGCCTGGCAGTGTGGCACAGCAGGTTCTTCAGGGTGCCTATGGACACGAAGTTTTTTATGAAGCAGAAGGTAGTGAGCTGGCAGCAGCTGCTCAAGGAAGGCAGAAAGACAGAGACCTGTGCACCAGTGATCCCACAGTTTTCCAAATGCAGGGTGGTCAGGGTGGATGAAACGTTCCTTAGCAAGTGTTGGAGAGGCTCAGGACTGAAAGATGTCAGCCTGGTACAACTCAGAATCAAGTGCTTTAGCTGTCTGATCTGCTCAGAGCAGGGCAGCAGGTTCCAGTCAGAGAGTGAAAGCTGACAGTTAATTACTGAGAGGGTTTAGGGGATCATTAAGCCACCTTACCATCCCAGGGGAGTCTGGTTTTATACTTTTAAAGGTGAATTCTGGTGCCACTGGAAATTATACAAAAAGCACAGCAATCCATGCCTTGGCTGTATCTCGGTGTAGAGGAATGTACATATCACAATTTTCCTTCAGGGCCCAAGCAATGCTAAGCTCTTCTTTCAATGTGAGTGTGAAAAGGACAGGTTGGTCATCAGGCAAGAACCCTGGAGAGGGCTGGGGAGATAGCTCAGTAGAATAAGCACTTGCCTGGCAAGCACAATGTCCTGAGTTCAATTCCCAGTACCACAAAAAAAAAAAAAAAAAACCTGGAGAATCATTGCCTTGAAAGTAGAAGTGATATTTGTGGACTTGGCTTTCAGGCAGGATCAGAAATAAAAATTTGAATGTGGGATGCCAACTGAGGCATGAGATGAATGTGTGTAGGAATGTAAAGCAATCATCAGAAATAAAGAGAGTTGCATGTGTTAAAAAAAAAAAACAGGGTCTTTTTTATATCTTGGCTTTCAAGTAATATCACTCCTCAACTCTAGAGAGAACTTGCCTCCACCCTTCTTCCTTCACTCCAGAATCTATTTCTCTATTAGCTTCTTCCCTCTGTATTCATATTATATTCAGAAGTGCCTCTAAGCCTAACCAAACCTTATCTTATGCCTCCTCCTCTTCAATACCTGCTACTTTTCCTTCTCCTAGCACCATTGAATTCAGAATCAGAAAGGAATTGGGGAAGACACGTTAAAATGAGGACAGTGTCTGGCCAGCTCACGGAGAAGAGGATTTCAAGAAGAAAGAGTAATTGACTTAAAGTATTTTGCTCCATGTTGTTCTTGACTTGATGGTTGTGAAGAGAAATCTGCTGTTGTTCTGAAGGGTTTTCCTTTAAATATGATCTGTTTCTTTTCTCTAGAAGCTTGTAGAATACTGTTCCTGTTTTTTATTTTTATATTCATTTAAGTTTATAAATAACTTTTTACAATGTGCAATCTATTATTAATCCCATGTTATGCATTCATTTCAGAAATATTTCTCTAAAAATCACCTTCTACATCTTATATCTTTCACATCTCAATGTTTGTCTACAATTTTTAATTTTCTATATAATTATTATTGATTTCTAACAAAGTTAATAATGAGAAAAAAAAGTAATTGACAAGACAGATTTAGAAAACAAGGGACACAAAGATAGTAAGAGCTGATTAAGGATTCTAGCCTCAGGGACAAACTGAAGGCTGACTGCCCATTACCAAATCTAAAGGGCTTTGCTGTCTTGGATGTCAGTGAGAAGTTAGTAGAACCTCCAAGAAAAATTATATCATTTTCTAGAATATAGACTGTGGAAAATAAATCCCTGATATTTCTCTTTGAGAAGTCTTTTCCCTTTTGCCTCAATACTCCTATGTGGGGATATGATAAAAAAAAAAAATCAACAAACCAGGCAGACTACAGCAGGGCACACCTGTAATCCCAGCATTTGGCAGGCTGAGGCAAAAGGTTACTACAAATTTGAGGCTAACCTGGGCTATTTAGTGGTTCAAAGCCAGCCTCAACTATATAGGGAGAGCCTGTCTCAAAAAAACACCACCAACAAAATCAGCAAACCAAACACACTTATCTCTGGGGTATGATAATGAGAATAATATTATCTTACACGTTTCTCCGCATTATTTTATTGACAGACTGACAAGCATCACAGCAGAAAAACGCACAGAAGAAAAAAGGGAAAGGGGCTTTATTATCTTTGAGCACATGGAGAGAATGTGGGGAAGATGAGGGATTCTCTGGAGTTGAACAAAGGGAGGCTGAGGCTTTTATGGCCTTTGGCCAGGGGTGGGGTTTGAGGGGGATGTTTAGATACACCTGAGGAGCTGACTGGGGGCTTCCCTGAGGCAGTGGAAATGGTGAAATGAAATTGCACCCTGGGCTGAGTTGGAGAAGTGGGGGCAGGTGGTCTCTGGGAAGATAAGATGCTGTTTTAAGGGCTTCAGCCATATTAGATGACCACCCTAATAATTCAACAAGTCATACTGGGGCCAGAACCCATCACAGACATCATTACTTATCAATTTATAATGGAAACTTAAGGGGCTGGTGAGATGGCTCAGTGGTCTAAAGCACCTACTTAGAACAAGCTTAGCAAAGCACAGGGACAGCGGTTCAACCCCCCAGCACCACATGCCAGCCAGCCCCGCCCCCTGGTGGGCTGAGCTGGCCACACACACATAAACAAATAAATAAATAAATAAAATTTTTTTTTTAAAAAAAAAAAAGAAACTTAAAGCTGAGGGAAGTTAAATTCCACTTGAAGTCACATGATCCCCTAATGTAGTACTCCAGAAAAGATTTCTGCAAACATCACCAAGGTTTGTCTCTGATTATCCTTCCAATCCTATGCTCCCAAAAGGCCCCAAGCACTAGCTTTTCTGCCAAAACCCCAAAACCTCCCCCAAGTAATCCACTGACCTGCAGTAAGAGAGGAAGGCTGTGTTGTGGTGCCTTGGTGCGTAGAGTTCTAGTTCCTCCTGAGATCAGGCTTTAACACAATGTCCTGAAGAGAGCTAGTAACCTCTCCACTAAAGAAACCCCTCACTTCTAGCCATGCAGTTGGCTGCTCCGAGATAGCTGAGTGAAGACGGATGGGCAGAAACTCCTCTGGCCAGTGAATGATTAACAGCAGAGATGGAGCAGCGCTGTTTACTTAATCTACCTCCTCTTCAATAGCCCTGTTCTTAATAACATGTTGCAATCATTTTCTCCTCTGCCAACCATTTCCCCTAAATGAAAAGGTAATTTGAACTTGATGCCAGTACTCTATTTTCTTTTCATAAACATAAGAGGGTGATGCAAGATGAAACCCAGCTGCCCTGGAAGTCCTGAATACCACAGCACCCAGTCAACCACCCCCAAAATGATCCACTTCCTGTAACACTACATCTAGAGGTATTCTGGAGGCTCCTGGCTTTAAGTCTTGATAGGCACTAGTCTCTGTTCCATCCCAAGGAGGTACAAAAGGTGAAGAATTGTTCAGTGAGTTGTTTTGGGGTTTTTTTGCTTTTGTTTTTATTTTTGTACCAGAGATCAAACTCAGGACCTTGAGCTTGCCAGGCAGATGCTTATGCCACTGAGCTATCGCCCCAACCCAAAGAATTATTCTGTTGAGTTTCCTGCACTGGGTTGAGACAGCTGAAGTGTACTCAGAGCTCAGCTAAGGACAAGCTCCCACAGCACTTCTGGCACATGCAGAGTGCCAGAAGACCTCAAGCAGTCAGCCTGTCACGAGCGCTGCTCAGGACACAAGACGGGTGTCCGTGTTTCCCATAGGCTAAAAAGAAACTCAAACCCTGATATCATCCAATTAAGTCTGTGTCCTAAACCGCAGATATGTGTGCTAAGAAAATGTAAAAGATGATCCTAGGGCTGGGGGTATAACTCAGAAGCACAGCCCCTGCCTGGCAAGTATGAGGTCCTGAATTCTATTCCTGGTACCACCACCACACCCAAAAAGAGTGATTCTTTTTCACATCATCTTTTCTGGAACGTACACTGAAAGTCTCATAAAGTATTCAGAAATGAAGGAGTTAAGTGCCATTACAATATCGATTTCCCTTTTAGTTCATGTTATCTCCTATTCCTCCTTCTCACCCCTAACTATAGAAACATTTTATGTCTTTCTTTCAAAACAAATCTCTTCACAACTTTACTGAATGAACCCACTGTCAGAGCTTCATTCTCAATGAGAGGAATTTCCATCCTACATCTTTATCTCTTATTATTCTCCTACACTCAAACCTATTGGTTGTTCTCCTTGATGTTGTTGTTGTTGCAGGCCAGGGGGCATCTTGCAAGTACCTTATACTCAGATCATCTAGAGAGGAATTTCTCATCTCCTACCTGGTAGCTTTATTTTATAATCTCAAATCTTATCTAGGTCCTCCGACTAGAATTTCAGGCTTGCCTTCAACTCTGTATTTCCCTAAGCCTCCAACATTCAATCTGTTGATAAGTAGTTTTGTGGTTTTTTGAGCTAGATTTTGCTACATAGTCAAGGCTAACCTAAACTCCCTAGTACCCAGGCTGATCTTAAACTCAAAATCTTGCCTCAGCCTCTTGAGTGCTGGGATTACAAGGGTGTGCCGCTATGCATGATGACAAGTTGTTTCTATGTGAGTTTCCCAATGTTTCTCATTTCTATTACTTTTTTTCCCCATTTCTACTCCCACTAAACTAGTTCAGGTTATGTTGTCTCTTATTATATATGGGTGTTTTAATCTGTTGTTTGCTGCTATAATGGAATGCCAAAGATTGCATACTTTATGGTGAAGATAATTCTGTCTTAGTTTTGGAATCTGGGAAATCCAAAACAGAGGATTTCCCTTGTGGAAAGATAGAAGGGCAAGAAAACACAGGCATGGAAGAAAGAGGGGAACTGAATTCATTTATCAGGAGACCATTCTGGTGATAAAAAACCCACACAGTAACATCACCCCAGTCACAAGGGCTTGTTTCTCATGACCAAGTCACTTCTTAAAGTTTCCATCTCTCAATACTATGGCACTGGGGCTTGGTTAGATCCCAAAACATCAACTTTGGAGGCCACTCACCAGGCTGGAGACTATTGCACTAGTCTTTCTCTTGGCTTCTCCATCACTATTCTTTTTCCACTTCAACTGATACTTCATGCTAGTGTGAGATGAATTTTCCTCTATGTCCTTATTTTCCTGTCCTTATCATTCCCTTGCTTGAACGTCACTCAAGTCTACTCACTGATTAGCAAAATTAAATGCACGTTCCCTAACGTGTCATTCAGAGCCCCCTGCCAACAGTCTCCACCCGGCCTCTCCAGCCTTCTCTTCTGCCACCTCCATGCCTCATCCGTGCCAACTCAGGCTATGCGCTATCTCCTCAATATGCCCCACTGTTCCTGATGCAAAGAACTGTCAGACTTTCATTTTAAAATGCTAAAGTACTTTTAAGAGATTTAAGTATTTACCTGTAATTCCAACATTCTATGAAAATAGCTCCCACCCGCAAACATTAATGTGCAGTCCTTTCTTATAAGAATAAAGACCTTACATAAATATGAGCATAAGTATTTGTTTTATTTTTTACCTGAGGTTTTATTTTCAAGATTTTCTGGTTTTCCATAATAACTTTACATTACATTTGAGAGGTGACTAAATTACTTAAACCTTTCCTCCAAGAGCAAGGGTTGTGGCACACACCTACAGAGCAGTACTCAAGAGGCTGAAGCAGGAGAATCACCATGAGTTCGAGTTCACTCTGAACTATGCAGTGAGTTAAAGTCTATCCTGAACTACATAGGAAGATTCTCTTTCAAAAAAGCAAAAAAACAATTTACTTTCTATAATTGGACATTTCACATGCTTAGTATAGACTATAATATACTTAATAACTTCAAATTAAAATATATTCCAGGTGTGCATTTATTTGATTAAAATAGGTATACTCCCAGCTCCTTCTTACTTCATTGTAAAAATATTCTTTCTACTTGGAATATATTCCTTCCTAAACTTTGTCTATAAATCTTATTTTTTGAAAGTACAAGGACTGGGAAGATAGCCCAGCAGCATAAGCACCTGCCTGGCAAGTGCAAGGTTCTGAGTTCAATACCCAGTACCAAAAAAACAAAATAAAGCAAAACAAAAACGTACAAATAACTATGGCAGCTTCCTTGAAAATTTCTCTGCATCCCCTGCCCCTCTTGTGTGCTTCCGGGCACATGGCCCCTGGAAAGAGCTGATACTCTCCCACTCATCCTGCAGTAGCCACTCTGAGCTGCATAGTAAGTTAACTATATAACCGTGGTTATATAGTTCTTGTGTCTACTCAGACTTTTAACTACTTAAAAGTCCATTCTTATTTTCCTTTGTAACTTTATGTGGTGGATTAACTAATGGCAATCTTGTAACATCCAACTGATCTGAATGGCCTGGTGCTGGGTGTGAAAGGCCCACCTGGGGATTGTTGCCAACAGCATAAAAGAATTGGACAGGAAGAGCTAGTGCTGTTGTTCCTCCTGGAGCAGCTTGTCCCACTGGCTTTCCTGATGTCACCTCAGCTGTTCTCATCACAGAGGAGCGTGGGACCTTGCTGTCCCTGAGGATGGCTGTGGTTCTCTTTGGGGGACTGGTCCTTACCTTGAACATTGCTTCATAGCTCCAGTGCAGATACCTCAGCCTGATGGAACAGATCCTTCACCTCACAGGCACAGACTTTCTAGCTTCCACCACTGGTCTTTGGGCCTTCCCGGGACAGATCCTTGATACAGACTTTCATGAGACTTTGTCATGGGCTCAGGCCTCCAGCTGGACTCATAGAGGACATTGCCATGGGCACTAGCTCTTCAACTGGACTCATGCAGGACGTTGCTGTGGAGTCCTAGCCCTCAGCTGGGTTCCTTGGGTCTCTAGTGTATGGATCTCCTGCACTCTTTTGCATTTGACCCTTTTGGTGAATATTATAAACTATTCATTTGTAAACCTTGAGTACAACACTTCACCTATAGATCTTCCAGTACTGCAAGCTGTCCTTTGTAGTCCGAATATATTTTACCCGGACCTCCCATGTGTTGCAGTGGGAGTCAGGATGAGAAATGGGGAAGGAGTCTGTCAGGCCAGCTCAGCCTGACATTTGCTAAGTCTTAGGATTCTAATTTCCTCTACCCTTCAAAAAGCAGAAGAGACCTCCCCCACCCCGCCCGCTGAGTAGGAATTTCTGCCGAGTTCCGGGAACCCCCAGACCCAGTCCTAGCCCAGGTCTGGTGAGTGTGCGGAGAGCTTCCTGCTACCATGCGCTGGTGGGACCAGTCCCAGCCCAGGC